AAGAACAGGGGGTGGGGGATTAAGAAGAACAGGGGTGGGGAGATTAAGAAGATTTGGGGGAATTAAGAAGAAGGAGGAGGGGGAATTAAGTAAAAGGGGGGATTAAGAAGAAGGGGAGGGGGGAAATTAAGAAGAAGAGGTAGGGGGAATTAAGAGGGGGGAGGGGGAATTAAGAAGAAGGTGGGGGATTAAGAAGAAGGGGGGAGGGATTAAGAAGAAGGGGGGATTAGAAGAAGGGGGAGAGGTGGGGGGATTAAGAAGAACAGGGGGATTGGGGGAATTAAGAAGAACGGGGGATTAAGAAGAACGGGGTTAAGAAGAACAGGGGGAGTAAGAAGAACACAGAGAGGAGGGGGAAGAGTAAGAAGGACACAGGGAGGAGGGGAGAGAAGGGGAGATGAGGAGAACACAGGGAGGGTGGGGGAGTGAGAAGGACACAGGGAGGGTGGAGGGAGTGAGTAGAACACATGGGGGGAGGTGAGGAGAACACATGGGGGGGAGTGAGAAGAACACAGGGAGGGAGGGGGCTGAAAAGAATACCGTAGGTTTGGGGGAGGGGGGATGAGAAGAGCACAGGGAGGGTGGGTGTGAGAAGTGACTGCTAGGGAATGGGGGGGGAGAGACCACTAAGGGGCAGGGGAGAGCTCTATAGGACAGGGGGCAGGACAGGGAGCTCTTTCACACTACGCGCACACACACAATGCATCCCTATACATACACAAACACACAATGCATCCCTACACACACAGAAACACAACATGCTTCCCTTATACACAGAGAAACACACAATGCATCCATTACACACAAAGACAATGCATCCTTTGCACACATACATAGAAACACACAATGCAAACCCTTACACACACATGCAAACACACACACTGCTTCTCTTACATATATACAGAAACACAATGCATTTCATACACACACTCAATGCACACACTACTGACACACACCTTGCATCCCTTATGCATACAAACACAGATTCACACAGTACATCGCTTATACACAAAAACACACTGCCTCCACTACAAATACACTGCATCACCTACACAAACTGGTATCCCTATACACTACATACCCTAAGCACACACATTAGATCTACATCTACAATAACACATAACACATCCCCTACACACTCCACTCCCTGTGAGCGAACTCATGGGTGGAACATGTAGGTGGACTTTTAGGTGGGCCTTATGGGCATACTCACCGTCAGGCCCTGGGACCCAGACCTTGAGCTGTTTAAGGGGCCCCAAAAAAATGGAGCTGCTTCCCATTCTACTAGAACTTTGAATTTTGTGACCACAGTTACAAACAGCCTTCAGAGATCCTCTTCTACACCAGACCAGTGGAGCCAAACCGCAGCCCATCATCATCCTCATCTGGTTGTAAGTAGGCAATCTAGTATATTATTAGTGACACTAATCTATAATTTACCTCACATTAAAGGGACACTATAGCTTAATGAAGTGGTTCTGGTGTCTATAGCCGGTCCCTGCAGGCTTTTTAATGTAAACACACACTGTGTCTACACTGTGTCTACTGGTGACCCACAAGAGGGGATTGCACTGCACTCTCCTCCTGCCCAGACCTGTCTTTACCGCAGTGCAAGTGCCCTCTGCCCCTAATTTACAATGGCTCACACTCACAGCAAGCAGTGCCTGGAGCCCTTTGCAGCGATGGGAACAAAGAGGTTCTGCGGCAGGTGGCCGTCCTGCAAGCATTACATTAAACAGCTGTGCCCCATGCAGCCACAGGTGGCGCTGTGCTGGGAGAATGTGATTACTCTTCACTTCCTCCCAGCCTACAGCGCAGCGCATGGGAGAGGGAGAGGAGGAGGCATGATTTAATCTTACAACAAATCCATTCAGCAAATCTTTGGGGGGATCAGCTCTGTTTGCACAGTTTATTGGTGTTTACTCTGATGTCTGTATTAATATTGAGGGATTTCTAAGTAGTAACATCAGTATGTGTCAGAAGGGCCAGACGTTGGGGTGTGCAAGCTGTGCGGTCACGCAGGGTGCCATGACAACAGAGGCGCCCAACACAGCTCACAAGTTGGGGACCCCAGCATATTCAATTTAAATGATTCGCTGGTGGTCCACTGGTGCGCACCAGCAGTAGGTGCAGTCAGATTATATCCTCTCTCTCATGGTTCTGGCGCTCAGTTAGTGAGTCAGAACACAGGCTCAGAGATTCTCAGCCTGCGCTCTGACAACATTGAAAGTCAGAGCCGTGAAGGAGCGGGTATGGCAAAGAGCTACTGATTAGCATAACATCAATATCATTTATAAAACCAGGTGGGCATGGATGGTGAACTGATTTGGTGGTGCAATGGGCCACTTGACTGGTTTTGCCCCCCAGGCCTAAGGCTGCCAGCCCTCCCCTGTGTCTTCCAACAACTTTAGTAAGGATAATGTAACTCTGTATCTTGGTATACATAGCGTTTCCATTCTTTAACATTCTAAGACCCTCTGCCTCCTAACAATTAACACTTATCCACATTAAATGTCAGTTGGCACAGCTCTGACCATTTTTCAAATTTTTATAAATCATTTGCCATTTGGCTTATCGTTCTGGAACATCAACCCTGTTGCAAATGTTTGTATCATCAGCAAAAAGAAATACCTTACCCTTTTGCAATATCACTAATAAAAATATTAAAAAGAATGGGTCCAAGTACAGATCCCTGAGGTACCCCACTGGTGACAAGCATTTAATCGAACGTCAGATGCAGATAGAATCTATTGCTTATACTTACCTTTGACGATTCGTATTTTGACTTTGGGCTTTGCAATTGTATCTGTGCAGCCTCCGTCCCTCTGACTTTACAAGATTGGGCATGGTTGAATGACGCATTGCTATGGAGGTGTGTCTTATCCTTTTAAAACACCGGGTGGGCACCGGGCATGGAGACACTCTTGAAAAAGGCGCCCTAGAGCGCTGAAATGTGCTTCGAGTTAGACGTTCTTTTTAACTAGGTTAGGTCTCTGTTGCAGCCTGATACTCTCTTGCTGACTTGGGGATGACTTTATGTTAGTGCACTGCAGCTTTAGCTAGCATATTTGGTTACAGTTTCAGAAAATCCAGGTTTAGGATTGGCTATATACTTTTTTCTCAAAAGCCTCCTGGACAGAAAGGCTATTAGTTTGCTTGTCTAAGCAGCCTGACTGTGTGTACTATTCATACTCTTAGTATATAGGTAGCTTATTCATTTTGTGACAGCTATGCCTTTAGGATATATCTAGGTAGTGTACGTGGTTTGATTGCTACATTTATTGTTACGCCTATCTTCGGAACTCAACGATTTTGTAGATGGGACCTATACTTTTTTGGGGGGAATTCCCTGTTTTCTTGCTTGATTAGGTTCAGATTTTGACCCTAGATTTTTCCCTGATATCTGTGGTCTACACTTTAAACAAGCCTATATACCGAAGGTGTGCCTATTATAATTTGAGGATTTTAAGGATTACATATTGGGTCACCGTATGCATTAATACTGAGGGATTTATCTAGTACAATCATATTGCAAGTGACTTTATCCTACCCTCGTAGGTATGTTAGCTACGGCTACCCTAGTAACCTAACCTCTAAGGAGCATCACCAGTTACTAATAAATAGTAAGTGGGCTTAGTTTATTTATCTTTTATGCTGAACCTTATACTTCTTAATTAGCAGGGAGAGACTATCTGAACTTAGCCCCATCTACCTATTTTGAGTTGAACATACACAGGTTGTAGCATTCTGAGCTCTTATGATTCCACTTTTTGGATTCCCTCACTACTTAGCTAAACTATAACTTATTGCCAGTTACTAACTTTTGAGTTCATACCCCCAACTAGAGGCCACTTGGCTATCACTTTGACGGTATAGGCCAATTTATTATCATTGACCTATAGCCATTTACATATATACATGCAAGAGTTTATTTAAGCTGCATCGAGCCTTTCCTTTTTGATTTCACTAGCACGTTTGTGTGTTCCACCATTATTATTATTTTTTCACTTTTATATTATTTATTAATTGTTTTGTTTAGTGATGTCCAATGACA